CAAAGCCTCCTCTACTTCATCATCTGCTACAGGTGGCTTCACCTTAGACTTTTTCGAAGGCTTTCCTTTTCCACCTTTGGCCTTTGCCTTAGGCTTTGGCTTGGCCTGCTGGCGACCTTCCGCAGTCTGACCATCTTCATCCTCCCCTCCAGCGACAAAGGGAGCTGGTGGTTGAGCGGCTTGCTGCTTCAAGCTTTCCACCACAAAGACTGGAAGCTCGTGGGACCGAGCTGGAGTTGCAACAGGCCTTCCGAGAGCTTGGCCTTCAGAAGCTTTCAATACTTCAGACTCCTTCCGATCTTTCTCTGCTTTGCGCTCCATAATTTTGGCAGCTAAGAGGTTCCAGTCAAACGATTTGCCATCAGACAAAGCTTCCATGTCCTCCTCAGTGGCCGATCGAGACAACGAGCTTTGTGAGCCGGATCTCGTGAGCACAACGTTCGCCTCACGAAGGCGTGCCTTCAACTGGGCCAACGCCTTGCTTTTGGCAGCAGTTGGGGTCTGATCAAATTGCCGCCTAAAGAGGCCCACAAGCCTGCGAAGGCCCAAAGCAAACTTCATGGCCAACTCGTCCAGGGCACCTATTGAAATGCCAACGGGCAAGAGCTTGTTACCCACATAAAACTGAGATATAGCTTTTCCGACAACTTCATCAGAAAGGCGACCGGTAGGCGTGACACTCATGATCGCGTAGATGGCCTGCAGCCCGCAACAAAAACCCAATCAACATTCCAACAATTGAAATTGAACGTGTTTCCTGTCACATCTGCGAAGCCCCAAGATGGCCCAAGCCTCCACATTTAGCTCCAAGTCCTTGCATGTAGCTTTCCCCTTCTTCTTGAACAAGTCTTCACTGTGTGCTTGAATAAAGTTAAAGTTCACCTGAGCAAGCTTTCCGTGAATTGAAGCCAGCGGACAAAAAACTTTCATGTCCAACAAATGAGGTTCCAGCATTCTTCAATCGGTCTTCTGCTGAAAAGGCCGCGCAGTACTTGCTGACAAGATTGGGGTCTTCACAAAGCTGCTTCAGTTCCCGTGGCATCCCGGGCAACAGCACACTAAGTAATCAGTGCTGAGTTGAGAAGCCCAAACAGCTTCCAAAAGGCTCTATCAGGTGTGAGTTGCACAGAAAACCTAGACAGGAAATTGACGGCGACCTGGAACGTGGGCACCCCATGACGGTTTGGAGGAAGCTGCATGGAGTAGGACCTGGGCAGGTCAAATCTGAACATGTTCACTCTGATATAGAATTGGGGCATGTTCATGGCTGACATGCCCATGCCATGACAGGTAAGTGCATGCCAGGCATGCGCGTGCACATGCCCATGGAAACAGTGGACATATGAGCGTGCGCATGCACATGCACATGGACATGAACAGTATGAGCATGCACATGCACATGTCACATGCGCATGAAAACATTGGACAGGAACATTTTAAGCACGCCCATGAAAACTGCGCACCGAACATGAACAGTTGCCCAGCATACGCATGCACGTGCCCATGCGAAGTTGTAAGTGCCGCACGGAAGACATTTCCTGGAGCAAGAATCTAGGGAAAGGTACATACCTGACGGCCCTCAGGCACACTATAAGGCAACCACTCACAAAGGCCATGACCTCAGGAGCTGTACAGAGAGTCAAGGCACAGCTACTCATTCAGTAAGCAGTGACACTCCCACCCTGCATGTCACTCGACGCGCAGCTTTTCCAAGCAGAAACCTCCTGTAGGGCAGCACCAGTCCTCAAACAAATGACGCAGCTAGCTGTATATATAAGAACCTTTGTCCAATGAGGCGCCAGCCACATCATACATCATCTCGACGCGGCAGAGGCCTGCATCCATGAAGGGTGCCACTAAAATTCAATCAGCAATACCCACCTCCTGATGGGGAGCACAGCAGGTGGTGGCAAGTTCCAAACCTTGCCATCAGACGACCTTCGGGGAAGTGCGAACACAAAGTTTGCCATCAAACAACTAACACACATGAGCCTGGCAAGTGGAGGGAATCACATGGAAGCAGGAACGCGTGCCTGAAAACTCCTTCCTTCGAGTTGGTAGCCCTAGAAGTTGTCTTCAGTCTCTTATCTGGGGGCCAAATCCTTGGGTCTTCAGGCCGGCCATTGTCTTCTTCCGGTGCCACAGGCCCACCAGCTGGTTTAGGGCTGGTGGAAGGGGCTGGTACTTCCTCCTTCAACAACATGTCATCCTGGCAACATGACTGACTGTTCTCGGATGATCATGTCCGTGCACATGCTCACGCACATGGATGAAGTCCTTGGCAGGTGGCTTCTCGTCACCCTTTTGTTCTTGCTTTGGCTTGGGCTGGTGCTTTGGCATGGGTGGCGGGTACTGCTCCACTTCTGAGACCACGCGCCGAGGCTTCGCCTTTGCAGATGCCTCAATGCACAAAAATTCAAAGTGTAATGTAGTTGCTGCCCAAGCTCTGAACGCCCATCGAAAGCGCAGCTTTCTCCTGAGCCATAGCCTGCCAGCGATCAGTTTGTTTGATCTCCCTGCCCCAATAAATGCGTGAATGCACCTGCTCCTTTCCGCCAGCTGAGGTCTCCATCTTGAGTTGAAACGCTACGGTTAGAAACGCAAATGTTCACACACACTCATGACCCGTTAGTGTGAACATGTACATGGTTCGAAGACATGCTCATGCTCATGGCGTGGTTCCAATTTACCATGGTCATGCTCATGGCATGGTTTCTACTATGCCAACGCACATGCTCATGCTCATGGCATGTGTGTTATGGTCGTGTTTCAGGGTTCAGGTAACACACATTACAGTAACACACTACACAAAGACCTCTTCCAGCGCGCACCAGCACTTGATCTGAGGCTAAAGCTGACAAGGACCCCAAGCACAGCGCTCCCCCGCTGTGAGTCCAAACTTGCCCACAAACACAAGATGAACTCTTGTTGCAGGGGTTTTCAAGCCGATAGGCCATATCAACCTCAAAACCCTTCATAAATGACATCTACTTGAAAACCCTCAGATACGCCAGTCTGGGTTGAGCGACCCTGACGTCAGCTGTGTTGTCGAACAGTTGTAGGCGAACAACGGGTCGTGGCTGGCCCTGGCAATCCCAGCTGTTTTGCCTTCCTGACGTAGTTGACAGCAAGTCGCTTGATGAGGCCGAACGCCGACTTGGCGCCGCGCTGTTGCTCACCTTTTGACGTGTCTTTGACAACGTTCGCCTTTCGGTAGGCTCTTGTCGACAGCTGATCCAGGGCGACGACGGACTCATTGAGATTGGCCGTCTCTTCCATTCGAGCTAGCTCACTGGCTGATCGAGCATCAGACCAGACCTGCAAGTCCCGGCGACAGTAGTCGCATCGGCGCTGCCCATCGAAATGGCGCGTAGCACATAAGGGCGCCGGGCATACCCTCTTGGGGATCTGGACACAATCTCGTTCGCAATCAGGTCTTCGTCCCTGATGTCGCGAAACTTTCCCTTGCCCTTGCCCTTCTTGCCCTTGGACTTGCCCTTGGATTTGCCTTTCCCTGCCCAACCGGACATCTCCTCATTGATGATGATACACACCTGTCCCAGCATGAAGCCGGTAAGCTCTGGCGGCGGACCCTCCCGGGACGCTTGGCTCTGAGTGAGGGCTACCTCATCAGTAATGCCTGTCATCTTGACTGCGCCTCGCATCAGGTTGATCTCGCCCACTTTGAGGTGTTCCTGGTTCCGGCGGGCATTGCTCAGCATGTAATTCTTAGCTTCGGCCAGCTTGCTCAAACGGAATTGCGGATCGTCAGTGGAATAGCTCTTCACTTCATCGTGGTACGATTGCCGCATCTTGGCGTACGCCCTGTTGAACCAGACGAACTGATTGTTTCGGGCATCGTACGCGTACATCAAGGCGGAATTGGGCACCCAGTCCAAACAGAGGATGCTCTTCCGAGTGGCGAAGACTCTGCAGCCATGCTGCATCACGAGCTCTGTGTCAAACGCTAGGTATTGGCTGTCCGGCTCGCGTTCCCGCAAGCTTCCGCATCTGGGCCTTCCAAGGTGGGCATGTCGTGAAGTAGTTGTGGGCTCGGCCGTCTTCTTCGGAAATCCACCAGGGATGAGGCCTGAGGCGATGATGCCTTGCATTGCGGCGCGGTCGCACGAGTGGTACAGCACCCTCGGCAATGACGACAGATACTCTTGGTCGGGAATCATGTTCATCCGTGGAAGCCTGTCTTCGTCCACCATTTTGGGCGTGTATTCAGGATCAAGTGAATAGACACGCTTAATGAAATTGGCATGTCCCAGTTTGTCGGTCACCCAACGGTTGTGACCCTGGACAGCTTTGATGCCAACCGGCTCGTACGGCAGACCTTTCCAGGTCGCTCCCACGGCGTTTCCCGGCAACCGAGTCTTCAACTCGAATCTCTCGTCGTAAACAACAATTTCACTAAGTGATTGAAGCCGGTTTGAAGGTATGAGAGAACGACGACTCACCACCCAACCAGTTTGTTGTGCTTTGTAGGTGGTGATAAGTCAAACAACGTGATTGCCCACAACATGACAAACTAACACACAAGCCTTGAGTGCAGCATGCGTATATTTCTTTTTCGCTTGTTGTCTTCTGCATCATTGCGTCTTTCGCCGTGTCCAGCTCATTGCGTTTTGCAATGCTTTGCCAGGAACAAAACTGATCTATCTTACATTAACACTAAACAAGAAGTAAAGAAAGTGGCACATTCTTTCTTTGCACTCTTAGCAACTTGAGTGCAGAGTGCCCTTCAGGAAGAATTTGGAGAAAAAAAGAGTAAAGAGATTAAATTAACAAAAAGCCGGGCTGGCATACGCCCCAATGCGTATATGCCGATTCATGTAGCAGTTTGCAAACATGAGCGTTTCACGGTCAGCCTTGACCCCATCGGGATTACAATATATAAATATTTCGAACAAACCATCTAATCTAAAATCATTGAGCACAACAACAAAGGCTCAACAAAGATCCTGATACTGAGCTATTGAGTTAGCAAAAGAATATCATTTCAACAAATGCTTGCCACGGCTGACAACATCCTTAGCCAATGCTGACTGATCTCCCTTCTTTGATCGCTGGTTCACGACAGTGATGATGCCTTTGTCCTTCATGTTCTTGGCAGCCGCTTGGGGACCAATGTGGTAAACCGTCTGGTTAGCACCATCATCTCCCTGGTCAGCAGCTGTGTCCGTAGTCGCTTTCGCCGCAAGCAAAGCCTCTTGCATCACCTTGGCACGTGCGCTTCGGGATTGTTTCTCATCTGATCCAAGCAATCGGGTGAGTGGTATCTTGTCCGGAAGCTGGACTGACGACTTGGCCTTTTCAACCATCTCCTCCAACTTCTCCTCCCGGTCAATGATCTCTTGCAAGGCTTCGTGACGTTTCTCAGGATCTTCTGGCATCACCATGCCAACTGATGTGAACATCTCAACCATAGGGTCCACTAGTTTCCTACCGCCCTTGCCACCCTGCCCTCTACCAGAGCCCTTTGGGCCCTTTGATTTTGCTTTCTCTGCGGCCAGCACGGCCTTGGAAGCAGCTTTAGAAGCAGTGGTGATCATTGAGCGAACTTGCTTCTCCATGTTGTTTCGGGCGTCATTTACTTCGTCAAGCAATCTGTCTGCAATGTGCTCATTCGGTGTCAAGCACTGGAAGGTCAAAGAGAATACCCAGTGTGGTAGGTTCTCATACTTCTTCACCAATTCATCATGTAGATGTTTTGCTGACGGCAAGTAGATCACATCGATGTCGGTGTAGGAAGAACCAATCTTGCGCACCAATACATCAACCTTCAACTCCTCTTGGTGGAAGAATGCTTGGTCGGCTCTGGTGACTGTCTTTGCTGCCCATCCTGGCACGCAGTAATCAGATGAAGCTGGGTCTTTGCAAGGCTCCATCCACCAATCAACCTCAATTGCGAAACTTAATTTATAGTGCATACATGTTCAACCCGAATCCAAACACAAAGCCTAAACCGAAACAAACAATCCTGAACAAACACAAAAAACAATACAAACATTTGATATGTTGATATATGCTGTTATTTACGGCTTGGACCCTTGGAATTAAACAACAAACAATCCCATTATATTGACTACCTAATAAAGCCGCAAGGACACACAATCCAAATTATCCAAACAAGCAACACCGAAAACGTTGCAGCACAAGTAGGACCCCTTTGGCTTACCCTGCGCGAGACGATGTACCAATGGCAATCGAACCTTCTTCACCTCCGGCGCCGGTAATTTGAAGTAAACAGCACCAGACTTGTTGGCTGTTCCCAAATCAATCTGTACTTGGTCAAGGTCTTTTGGCGCAATGTGTTCATAGGCTGACCACATAGCGGCATTCAACTTGAGCTCGAAGATCTTGAAGAAGCAGCCGTCAATTTTGTTCTCTGGCAACTGAAGGGCTTCCCAAGCTTGTGACTTCACAATTGTTGTCTTGAAGCTGTCAACAATGTAGCTGTTGAACTCGTTGATGGGTAGCTGAGCAGTTTGTTTGCTTGATGTCTTGCCGTTGCCATTGCCTTACTGCCAAGACGGAACTTATGACATGTCATATGAGAAATGAAATGATATGATATGACTCTGACTCTAAGACTATGACTAAGACTCGACTCTAATCCAAGATATATGTAATAATATGTAATAAAAACAGTGAACAAATTAAACATATACTCTTCAATTTAAAAATTAGTTAATGAGGCTCTTCAAAAGCTTTTGAAGCTGAAGTTAGTCTAGTTCAAAAGTATTTTGGTGACTGACTCAGTGACTGAGTCATGTTCGTTTTGCTACCCAGTCACCATCGTCACCATCACCAGGATTTGCGGTGCCATCAGCGGTTGCATCCGACTCATTGATCTTCTTGTCATCAGGTGTACCATCGTGCTTCAAACTTGATCGGAGGTTTGCCATCATGAGCAAAGATGAAACAGCTGGCTGTTGTGTCAGTTGTGTCACGTCTGGCTGATCGGGCTTGAGATTCTTTTGCTTTGTGGTCTCACTGGTCGTTGCCGCTGCTGTCTGGTTCTTCTTCTCGTCATCATTCCTCTTCAAATATGTCTTGATGGACTTGACAACACACTCGACGGAAGTAGCTTTCTGCAAATGATGTGTCCACTGCTTTCCCCACTCATGGGAGGAAAGCACAACATCAAAAGAAATGAGCTGATCAAGCTGTGCGCTGTCCATTGACTCCACATGTTGTGCCAACCGACCATAAAAGAACAACGTTGGAGTATCAACATCGGTGACTTTAAGATCTGTTGTGCACTGGCATGCCACGTTCAGCAAGTGAAGCAAATAGCGGAATCTCAAACCAATGAACTTTTCCATCTGCTCGGTTGATCCAAAGACCTAGGCAGGATATGCATCAAATAATATGGCTGACTGACTAACAGTTTGATTGTACCGAATGTACCAGATTAAGAGGCTAAGAGGTCCCACAAGACAACTACTAGCAGCACAGCACATGTGGTGTCAATGACTATGAATATAAAGACTATGTTTGCTACCGGCAGTTGAAAACAAATTATATAATAAGTATACAGTAAACGATTGTTAACCCTCAAGCTGAGCAACATCCTGAGAACCTTCCACAAAGTCACGGCGAGTATTGAACACTTCCACAACATCAGCCGCAAATGCAATCCAAGCCGGTGGTATCACTCGATCAATGTGTCCTTGAAAGAAGCAAATCAGGTCAATAAGCTTCCACCGCTTTGTTGAGCATTCAAGAAGCCTCGGATGTGTATGAAGGTGAGCAAACCATATCATACAACCTTTAGACAGTTGTCACGCTAGACGCTGCCCCAAAAGTCAGAACACAATCAGGCATGCCTGTGTACACCTAATCCAATCATTCAAAGAAACGCTGCAGCGGTGTTTCGGACAATGTCATGCATCATTGCAGGAAGCTTAGCGTTGATCTTCAGGAAGTTCTTCAAGGGTTGTGCCACCATGACATACTTGGAGTTCATGACTATGGCAATTCTCTTCACGACAAGTTCCTCATCATCAGCCATGACGGTCATGACAATGGGCTTGTTCACAAACGTTTCACAAAGTGCCTTTGCAAGCTCAAATGCATTGACTTTCTTGCCATCATCACGGGAGGTGGTAGCCGTGCTCACAAAGTCATATGCAGCATCAAAGGCCGAAAGAAAGATGGACTGCAACTCAGGCCTGACAGAAGACCAAACTCGAAGATCTTTTCCGTTTAGGCACACTCGGGCTTCGAATAGGAACTGCATAAAGACTCCAGCCTTGAGTGCACGTGTGTTGGCAATTAGTGAACGAGCGGACTTACACTTGCACTTGCACACACCAAAAGGCAATGGCTAAATGCAAATGAATAACAATATTTAAATAACATCAAAACATCAAAAACAAATACAAAATAACACCTACTCGCTGAACAGACAAGAAACACAAAAGTCGAAGGCTTGGATCAAACTGCTAGTTGACACAGTCTGTTGCTGCCCAGTGCGAGCCTGCAAACGCTTTAGATTGGCCCACTGTTTTTTCCATTTCACTAATGACAACAAAGTGACTATGATAACCTTTGACAACAGCTCTCAGCTCCCATAGAAAGTTGAAACCCATATGCAAGCAACATTGCTTACAGCTTACATGAAAACAATAATGCACGCCTTCACAACTTGCTCTGCATATACCATCGCTTGCAGAAAGTCATCGATAGCAGTGATAGCCCGAGTGCCAGGATCATCTTGAGGATCTCCAGCACATACCAAAGGTGGAACAACTTTCATGAACTTCCTCTTCTCGTCATCCGTCCAAGGTACGAAAGCTGGTCGTTTGTCGGCCTTCTTGATCTTCTGCTCTCGATCAGCTGTTGTTGAACGAGTAGATCCTGAAGTCGCGAGTCAAAGTCAAAGTCAAACATAATCTAATTTGCGGCTGGTGGCAATTTCTTTGAATCTTTGAGTGTGATAAGTGATGAGTGAATCAATTTGATTGCTTAAACAACAAAATAAACAAATATAATACCGCCTAAACTTAAGAATTTGAACTTATTGTCCTGCAAGGTCGCCATCAATACTTGACACATGAAGTCGGATTGGACTGTAGGAAGAGGCATCTTTTGAACCCTCAGGACCCTCAGGAGCATCACATTGCATAGGCTCTGATTGGTTGTGCTCGGTCTTCTGCTTCTTTTCAACACCAAGACCTGACAGCCCTGACAAAACTTCAGACGTAATTGTGTGTCGCTTGCGACTGCCACCGGCTGGCTCAGTGACTGGTGTTGATGTTGAATCTGAGTTGCTACTGGCAGTCTTCTCTGTCAGCTTTCTGATCGCGGTTGAATCGGCCATTGGAAGATTGATCAAGTTCATCCGTGCTGAATCTTGCTCCCAATGTTTGAAGTTCCACCCACACATTCTTTGTCCCATAGCACCACCACAAGCTTTAGGCACCTAAGGTGGTGTACAAATCAATATGACAAATTCAAATATTTTTTTGTTTGTGGCTACAGCTAAAGAACGTCAAACCTGCGCGAAATGCGAAAAGACAATGAATATGTCAACTCTCTGGCGTGCACACAGTAGTCAGTAGTGACACTACTAGCAATGCTTGCTACCACAATCTACCACATAAATATTCTTGTAACTAAAGGGAAAGGGTCTAAGGACAGCACGCAATGCCGCAACGCATGGGATAGGATAACCCGAACATAGTCTGCCTTCCAGTATTTACTCAGGTTGCCAACTACCAACAAGCTCAACTGGTGCATGCAAGCAATCACTTGAGTGGGATCAAGGTCACTGTTCAAGAAGTCCACCGTCGAGTTGAAGTACTTCTTCAAATCATCGAAGATCCCGTACTTCTGCTGCAAGTTGTGTGTCAAGCTCAATGCTTTCCGATAGTTATCCCAATCGGTGAAGAACATACCTGCAGTGGCAGTGGTGAAGTCGGAGTTGCATTAAAATACACCCCTGTATCACTACGTAAACGATAGCGTAGTAGCGGTTGATTCGTTTGCTATCAAAGCGCTTCGTTTCAAGACGAAGTCCTTGTAGAATGCTTTGTATCGTGGGTTGTGGCTGTGGAGTCCAGTGCGACTACACTCCTGCTCCCACAATCCCTCAAGCTGCACCGCCTCCTGCATATATTCCAAGAAGTTGGCGGCTGAGCCCTTGTGAAAGGTGTTGTGCACATTGATAAAACGTTCCCACACACGCCAGGGGATGTCTGGATGGATGCACCTGATCAAGTAAAGTCTAATGATCTATAGTCTATAGTAGATCCTATAACCATGTAGCAGATAATCTTTCATTATACAAGGAGTATCGTGAAAGCATCTAGAGCCTACTCTACTAGAAACTGTGAATTCTGAAATTGACAGCCACACAAAACAAAGGCATCAATACATCATACAAATGACACACATAATATCAAAATCTAATCACATTCACACACCAAGAAACTTGACAGAAGTCAGCCCTCGTTCTAGCACAATGGACACGTTGGGGTTGCTAGGTTGTTCTTGGAAAGCGCGATAGCATGCAGCCAAGCGATGATTCCAAGTACCGGCTTCAATTGGCCATTTCCGCTCGGACGTCTTGAACTTGAAAATCGGCTCTCCTGTAAAGGGCAAAACGATAATGCACTGAGCTTCGAGCAAAAAAAACAAACAAAAACAAAAACATGTCATCAAGGTAACACAACACTAACCAGTGTTTAAACCATATATAATATATGTTCAACTTTGACCCACCATTACTTTTTTTCAACCCTGTCCTGCAGCTACTTGGGATATACTTTCCAAAAAGATCCTGTTCTTGTACGACTCCACAGTTGCCTCCTGTATCTCCCGGCTGAGACTGCTTTTCTCGATGGCCCGAATGCTCTTAGATGATGTCATTTGACCATCAGATGACACTGAGACTGGCGCGTCCACAAAGAATGGTACATCTCGTTGTCCATCTGAATAGTAAGCCAGCACTAAGTCTAAAAGCGCTCCACCTGATGGAGTGTCATCTCCAAACAGTGCCTCAACTGTCAAGTTTGGATCGTAGATGTTGACAGCGGAAGCAGCAACTTGTTCTGGCCGAATACCATGTAGAAGACCTCGATTCTTTTGCGCACGGGGTGGAGATGGATGTGCCTCCGTAGGAGGCGCTGATGAAGGCTGCTGCATTCAACGTCACGTGAAAATCACTGGAACAAGCTGTGATAGCCAAATGGCGCTCACTGAGTGCAACGGCAAGTCAAATGAAAGCCAATACTGAGATTCAAAACAAAACATATGGTTTCATTCCGAGTCAAAATCATCAAAACTCAGCACTGAAACTCAAAACAGAACTCATGGTTTCATTCAGAGTCGAAATGACCAAAACTTAGCTTTTCGTGTCCTGCTCATGATTTGAGCGCCATGTTTTTGGTTCAGCAGACTCTTGTGGTCTTTCATTTGCTTACATACTCGAGTCATAATGTGTTCAAACAAAATGTAATGAATACGTTTCCACAATAGAAATGTTGGTGAACATTCACAAATGCAAACTGATGTAATGCTGCAAGACGTGTGTTACCAATCTGTTATATCTGATGGTCTGATGATGATCTTATCTCGACACACACTCAGATTGATGGTGATGACATCGAACATCACCCTCCCCAGTAGCCTGAACGGAGCAAGAGCAAGAGCAGGATAAGTGAATGTAGGATCTCAAAACAAAATGTTGATCTAATCAATCACATCCGCCATATGTATGACACTTTGAGAGAAGTGTGTGTAGTGACTGAAGCACAAAAGCAACTAACTATCTGCAGACCATCAAAGCTGAATCACACGAACACAAATCAAAAACAAAAAGCTCTACGTTTGCTTCCATTCACTCCCATTCAAAGCTCAAAGCATCTATACAAAATATGGTACTACACCGTGCTGTGCACAACGACTCTGCTTCAGAGCGGTAGCTGTAGCGATGAGCATATGCAATATACAAACAGAAATGAAACATCAAAAGGCTGATTTCCAAAAGCTAGGTTTAGGTTACAGGAGAATGTGACAGAGCTGACCAGGCTGACTAGATAATTGTCAAATACAGCTCACCACAGCTAGATGGATATCATTCAGTCTGAAGCACATAGGTCGCCTAAACGGTGAATCAGACTGCAACCAAGCACTAAGCATGCTCCTGAACAGCAATTGAAACTGCTCATATGAATTAGATAGATAAGATCAAAGCTCAGCTCATACTATAGCCTTGGCACTCACAACAAGCTCATTGCAGCATGATTGGCTGCTGCCATTGCCATTCCATCACTCTTTCCTCGCACTCGGACAAGAGGTCTTGATGGTGATGATACATCCATGTCAAGGTAGGCTTCTCTCGAAGATCTTTTCTTGGCTGATCTGATGTGTTCTCGTGCACTCTGAATGTGCTTGAACAAAGGACACACTGGCCGCAAAGGAATTTCCGACAAAGTGTAGAGCTGGATCAAAGCCATGACTGCACAGTGCATGCTGTTTCCAGCCTGCGCACACGTGTGCCGTCCATTTCGCTGACTGTTCTCCAGGCTGAAAACGGAAAGGCAATCCTTTGGGTCGTGAAGCAAAGGGATCACTGGAAACCTCTGACACATCAATGCTTCTGTAGCGGTCATCCATCTGGAAGGTGTTGCGGTGTCATTCCAAATCAGGCCACAGTTGTTGATCAGGGTGAACATGGCATGTTGCCCTGCTTTGTGACCATGACCAGATGCCGGGTCCTGATTCAACTGATATGCTGTGTTGGGCCAACCACTTCTATACTGGCCGAGGAAACGCAATTCACTCGATGTCAACGACCATTCCCAAATATCTGGATCTTGAAGGTTCTCCACAGATATGGTATCAAGGGCGAGCATTTGTCCCATACTTGTTGGCCTCCCCCTTGCCCACAAGATATCTTGCTCACATTCATGCGCCACCACACCATGACCTTGTACTTTGGGATGATGCATCATGAAAATCTCCTTCCAGGACCATGCACAGGCTCGAAAGAAGCGCTTTTGAAACCTTGCTATGGGACTCAACATTGGAAGGCATTTGACCTTGCGCCGCATCACAATGAATTCCCTTTCCCTGCTGAACGGGAAGCCCAGCAAAGCAGGATCCAGAATTGTAGTTTCCATCCAATAGTGGGCATCAAGGAAGCGGATCACAAGGTTCCCCAAACCAGCATCTTGAACAGGTAGGCCTTTCATGCCATCATGACGAGCAATGGTTGCCAAGGTAGCTGACCCAGGCCCCGTTGTCTTTACATTCTCACTCACGATGATTGGTTCCTGCAATGTCAACCTCATGCCTAGCCAAGCTAGGGTAAACAATGTTTCTGGATCTCCTTGTGACATTTGGCTGCCTTTCCGGCTATAAGGTTTGCAACTGGTTCCAGCAATATGACGCCTAGCAGAACGAACTGCACACTGTTTGCCATGTGTAAGGCAAGGTGCTTCTTTTCTCATTGCATTTCCTGAACTGAGAAGCGGTCCCAAAATCTCTACAGCCAAATGTGGCTTCTGCAGAAGCCGGTTCACAGTGTCATCCAGTTCTGGTCTGAAAAAATGCTGTATGTTGGAGAAGAGGCAGATGTTATGTTGCTTTGCGTGAGGAAGTAGTTCTTGGCAGCATGCGGTGTTCCATTCAATCTGGAACAAAATGCGTTGATGCTTGAACGGTGCCTTGGTTCTCTTGCACCAAGAGTGCCTCAAACAATTCATAGCAGTGCCTGCAGCCTCTATCCCACTGAAAGAAGTTGACATGGTATCTTCACTGTCAAACAACGCATCGAAAAGACCCATGATTGCGTCATCATTGTTTTCCTCAAGGATGGTTGACAAGCAGTCATCATAGAATAAGTCCGCCTCTGCAAGTGACGAAGCAATTTTTCTTGACCTGTTCGAAGAAACGTTCAAGGTGTTGAGAACTGAGTCTGAGTGCAAGACTTGCGAACATTGAGATGCACCAGCTGGTGCCTTGTCATTTTGTGTTGCCTCAGAAATGTCAGCGCCACCACTTGCATCTATCTTTGCATCTGTCTCTTCTGCCGTTGTCATGATCTGAACAGCGGCCGTCGTAGAAGCTTTGGCACTGGCAGTGTCAGTGTCTTTCTCAGCTGAAGCTGAGATAGACTTGGACATCTCTGTTGCATCAGGTTGTTCACCATGAGACTCATGAGAAGAACTACCAACTTCACATTCACCTTGTATCGATGTGGCTGTAGCTGCACACGGATTTTGGTTTTGCTGATCATCTACTTCACCACCAGCACCAGAAGTAAAGTCAGCGCTGGCGCTAGCTCTTTCTGTTTCATTCTCAACTTCCAAAGTAGGCGTGGCATCCAAAACAGTGTCTGTTGCCGCTGGTTCAGCTGGTCCAGCAGTAGCATTAGCCTCTGGTTGTGCTTTGCACTCATCTTCTTCGGCATCAAACTCATCCATCAACTCTTCTAGTGCTTTTTCAATTGGTTGTTTCTCCTCAACCGCCGCAACCGCCAAATCTGGTTGTGGCTCTGGCTGGTTCACCGCAGGCTTTGACTTCTCAGACGTCTCAGATGTAGAAGCCGACCGCAGCAAAGGTTCAATCTCTTCTCGAGTCAACGATAGCCAGAGCTCCTTATGTTTCAATTTCAAAAGCATATCAATGTTTATCTTCCTAGTTTAAAGAAATAAGCAAAAAAAAGAAACTCTAAACACATAGTTAAAACGTAGCAGCACATATGCACACTATGCTTTCCACTCAAAGTGCAAACGAGACACCTGTTCAAGTGATGCACTTGCACTCTGCCCAAACGGCTTGTAGTTTTTGATCACGCATGGCGAAACTGTATACTTCAAAGCAATCTCCCAAACAGGAAAGGCCTTCTTGTTCGCATCAAACTGAAGTTCTTTTTCAGTTTGGTAACTGCCGAAGTTGTTGAAGGCAATCCATATCCATCATCTGTTTGCCCCAAAGCTACTAGTTTCTCATGGGTCAGCCTCCGGTTGCTGACAAATGTGATGACTGCTGTCAATTTGATGTGTGATGCATTTCCTGTGCCACCTGAAAAGAAATCACACTTGATGACATCTTTGCTTAACAAACAGAAATCTGTTTGCTTGCTCAACACCCTCGATTGAAAAGGCATCGCAATAAAGCGCTGCTTGCCCTGACAAATGTTCTTTGCCGTCTCGGTGTCCACGACCACTCCAGCAAACAGAAAAGCTGCCGCATGAGGCACAGATGAATTTGCTGCTTTAGACATTGCAGCAAAAAATATATACCAACTGCAACACCTTGAATACAACAAACTATGTCTTTATTTGTTGTTTTGATCATATGTGCTTTGCAAAGTGTTGTTCTGCTGATTGAAGCCTCACACCTGCAGATTGATTTAAATCAGCTACTTTGCTACAAAGCTTTGGACAAAGTGACTTGAAGAAGAAAACAAACCCATCAAACCTCACAACATATCTGCAGTGGCGCCTGCCACTACGAAGACGACATTTTGAGCAGCTAGAGACCTGAGTGCGTTCATAGATTGTTGAAAACAAAACAAAACACAACAAAACAAAACAAAAGAACCAAAACGAAAACCATTATACCCTCAGCACACATAGTGGTGTTCCACAGTAGTTGCGTTCTCTAGTCCAGCTAGTAGTGATCAAGCTAGTGGGTCACCGCCATGTCAC